ATTCAGACTAGAGCGCAGTAGGCTTGGAAGGGACCTTAGAGGTCATCCAGTCCAACCCCGTGTGCAAACGAGAAACTATCACCATTTCAAATGGACGTCCACTGTCTTTTCTTGAAAACCGTCACTGATGGAATATATCCGCCACTTCGGACGAACAACCTCGGGGTGTGGGGTTGGGTGGGGGGTGGTTCCCTCTCGTCCCCACTTCACCGGTCACGACTGGCCTGCCCCAACAGCTCCTCCCCCCCCTGTCCCCAGGCAGTTCCTGTTTGTGGCTACTTTCTCCACTTTCCTGCTCTGCTGCGTGGAATACGACATCCTCTTCGCCAACCAGCCTGTCAATCACACCCATCCCGGAGGAGGAAGAGGAGGAGGAGGAAGGCCGTTCGTCCCGGAGCGGACCAAGGTGACTCTGCCGGACGCCATCTTGCCGGCGGGAGAGTGCGCCGAAAGGTGAGTCGCGGACGCTGACCGAGTCAGACTCTGGAAGGGGGATAAGTTTGGGCCAACGATTCACGGAGCGGGAAAAACGAGCGTCACGGTGGGAGGGGAAACTTGAGCCGGGCATCCGTCGTATCTCCAGGACGGCGGGGGGAGATGAAGATTGGTCTTCCGTTGAGCGGAAGGGGTCAATTTTGACCCCTCTGGCACCCCCTGTCTCCCGCGGTTTGCAACCCGTAGCCAGTGGGCACGAATTTCGTCGACTCCAGCTTCACGGTAACGACGGACCGCCACGGGACCGATTAACGAAGAGTCCCGCTTATTGGCCAGGCGGAGAGCCCACTTGGCTTAATCGGTCCAGGTAAACCGCCTCGGGATGTGGAGTCTCTCCTTTGGAGCCCGCCCCCCTAGGTTTCATTAGTGACCGTCCGAAGTTGTAACGGCCCCGATAAAAAAAAAAGAGAGAGACTTCGGACCGTTGTTCGCTCATAAAATGGCCGCCGGCGAGTTGAACGTCCAACTCTTGGTGGCCGGTACACCCTTAGAATCGTGGTGGACCTCCCTTTGTGACGAGGAAACCGGATTCGGGCAGCTCGTTTAACGTCCGGAGGGAAGTCCCTCTGCGACGGGTGCAAGGAAGGAGAAAGGGAACGCGAGTCGCTCGAAAGGAAAACGTCTCGCTCTACGGCGGGAACGTGAGGCTGAATGGTGGTCGTAGAAGTAGCGGTGCCGAAAATGACCTGGGGAGAAGGGTTGAGGCTGGGTAGGGCAGCCATTTTGTTTCGGGACGGGACCTGACCTGGGCTCACTTTAGAAACATTCCTCGGTGGAACGACGGTTCCTTCCCGTGACAAACAGACGGGAAAAGGGGGACTTACGACAAACACAGACACCCCGTTTCATGCATAACGACCTCCGCAGGTCCTCTGATTTATGTTTGGATGTATTTCACGTGGTCGTAAGTGTGAGCCCTTGGAGGGCCTAGGGAGATTTGGAGGAAAAAAACCCTCGATCCGCTTAATTGAAGAACGGCGGGGATTTTCCGCAGAGACGTAGGAAGGCCGCCACTTCGCCCAACCTCCCGCTGAATTTCCCGGGCTTCCGGACGGCGAAGTCCGTTGGACAATGAGAAATCGAAACCCGTTGGATTTCTCGCCCGTTTAGGGTGCGACGCTCCCTGAATTTGTCTCGGACCGTTCTCGACGATTTCTCGTTCGTTTAGGGCGCGACGCTCCCTGAATTTGTCTCGGACGTTCTCGTCGATTTCTCGTCCGTTTGTCTTGGACCGTTCTTGTCGATTTCTCATCCGTTTAGGGCGCGATGGTCCCTGAATTTGTCTCGGACCATTCTCGATGATTTCTCGTCCGTGTAGGTCGCGATACTCCCTGAATTTGTCTCGGACCGTTCTCGTTGATTTCTTGTCCCCGAACGAGCCTCCTTCTCCCGACGTTCTCCCGTACAAAATGTTCACTGGACTGGCTAGACTGGCGGAGGGTGCGACTCTCCCTGAATTTGTCTCGGACGTTCTCGGCGATTTCTCGTCCGTTTTCCCCGTATCGGGAGCTCGACCGAGAAGACGTCAGTTGCGTGGTAGTTTACGGGCAACCGTACAGGCATTGCGCAAGCGACAAATCATCCTCTGGCTTTGTTCCTCCCCTCCCCTCCTTATCTCCCCCTCCCTCTTTTCCCTCCTCAGCATCCAGGCCAACAGCGGTATCATTTTCCTACTCGTCATGGCGGCCATTTTCTGGCTCTACCGTTTGGTGAAGGTCTTTTACAGCCTGTTGGGCTACTGGGAGATCCGCTCATTTTACACCAAGGCCCTCAAGATCCCCTCGGTGAGTTGTGTCCTCTCGTCGCTATACAGGGCAGGAGGGAGGTGAGGGGGGCTCGTTCCACACCGAGCCAAGATGGATATCCTTTAGGGGAAACGGAGACGAGTCCGAAGTTCTTGGGATTTCCCCTCGTTTGGGGTAACGGGGAGAGGGGGGGTATTTCTCCTGCTCGGGCCAAGGGGTTGGACTGGATGGCCTCCGAGGTGCCTTCCCAACGCTGGGATTCCTGGTTTTGAGCAGGGTGGGGTTGGACTAGATGACCTCCGAGGTCCCTTCCAACTCTGATTGTGTAATTGTCCAGTGCTTGAAAAGGGGGTTGGACTAGATGGCCTCCAAGGTCCCTTCCAACTTTGCGATTGTGTAACTGTCTCCTGCTTGGAAGGGGATTAGACTAGATGACCTCCAAGGTCCCTTCCAACTCTGTGATTGTGGGATTATGTAACTCTCCTCTTGCTTGGAAGGGGGTTGGGATAGATGACCCCCAAAGTCCCTTCCAACTCTGTGATTGTATAAGTGTCTCCTGCTTGAAAGGGGGTTGGACTAGATGACCTCCGAGGTTCCTT